TCAGAAGTTTCACAGACACAACCATCTTATTGCTGCTTTAAGCATACTTTTCTGCAGTTCTTCATAAAATGCTGGGAGTCCTCAGTACTCCAAGCCCAGTAAGATCCTACTACCTACAAATAAGTCAACACTGGGCAACACTGAAAAATAGACCACAGCATAACTACAAGCAACCTAAATACAAGCATTAGGAAGTCATGGGTATATTTTCAACACCCTCCGTACTCATTTACTATGTTGGAGAAGAAACTGAAAACAGGAGGAACAACAAGAGGCTGATAAAGCCTGGTGTAAAGTGACTGGGAAAGGCTACAAATTTGCCCTAACACCTCATATTTAGAATTAAATCACTAAAACAACTCAAAGCAGTCAAAGTTTTTATTCTGCAATTTCCTGGAGCATTAGCACACACATGTAAACAGAAGTCTTTCATTTCAGGCATTGTCTTTTATCTAGTTATGACCTCCTTTCCAGAGAACTTCCAGTAATGTTTCTGGAAATCTTTAACTCCTCTTTGGAGCCAGAGAAATTCTTGTTCAGAGACAGGGCTACTCGGTTCAGTGAGGGAGCTGGAATACTTTTTATGTCAATAGACAAAACTTGTAAAACATTTGTATTTTCCTGGAGCATGACACCACTTAAAAGGTCTTTGCCAAGATAAAATCACATTTTTTACCTTTATGTCTCTTATTTAAACCAGACTCTGAAGACACTTCTCCTTATACTCAGCTCTACGACACTAAAAACAGTGCACCTTAGCTTCAAAATGAGATTGCCAGTATTTTTCTTCCCAGACAGAGCTCTTAGATTCCAAAATTAAATTCTACTACCTTGTGGTACTTGCTGCAAGTGACTGAAGATCAATTATAAATGCACTCTTCTAATTTGCAGACAAAATATCCTATAAACAGAAGAGTACTAAGAAAAATACTCTGTAAATAGGAACTTTCCCTTCGTTTGTAAGTAGAGATTTTTTTTCTGTAAAGAATCCTCCAGCCAGCTAATTACAATGCTATTCAGCAAACCATTATCTCCAGGAGATTGCTTATTTCAACAGAACCTCGGTTCTATTACTGTCAAGTATGCCTGATTAAATGTTCCAAGTCACACTTATTATGTGAGCAGATATTCAGAGCTCCTTCAGTATTTCAGCATTTTGATCTCAGATCTTGGAAGGGATGGACCAAGATAAGCAATAAAATCAAACAGCTTTGATAATGATGCACTTATTAAACAAGAATAATCAACACATGAGTTAAGCTGTGCTCTGTTACTTAAACCAACATACAGTGGTATCAGCAAAATCTTTGCACATTAACGCTTGTTTTATGACCACAGATGTGAATGCTTCTGATTTATTCTTATATTTCAACTTTAAATTCAAAGCTCATATTCTGCACAGCTTAATGTACCAATGACTTTTTCAAAAGGTGTTACTATAAACTACACCCTAAATTAAAAATCTGGAAATCTTGTTTCTACCTGAAGGGTAAAAAGCCAAAAGCCTTCTTTCAGAACACTTTCATAAAGAAACAAAATTTATGCACTTGTAAGACAATCCTAGCTCTGCCCATCCCACCCAGACCTGCCACTCACAGTCCTTATCTCCTACAACTTTTAATTCCTCAGCCACTTGGAGCTAAATTTGTTAAAATGTACTACTAAGAAACTTTAAATTCTTAAAGGATTGTTAAAATTAAGACACCAAAAACACCAACAACTCCATTAACCCTTTGTCATAAAGCAACTTTAATGTGAGCTCAATCTTATCAGACAGCACAGGCATATTCAGAAAACATAATCCCAACAATGGGAGAAAGAAAACTGCTTTATGTTCTAGTAAATCCTCCAAAAATTCTTTGTAGGTGAACCTCTCAAGCCTTGCCGTTCACTATAGCTAGATGTTATATCTCCTTGAAACCTAGAACCGAGCCATTTTGTTAGATATGCCACGTCCAATTGCAAGGTCCTTGCTCTAAGGAATTCCGAATCCAGAACTGACAAAGCACCTGGTTCAGCTCCAGGTCTGAACTCCATCACCTCTGCAGGCTGATTTCACATAACTGTTGTCAGCCACAGGAACACGTTATTATTATTTCACGTCCCATGAGAACAGCTCTGCGACCGCCTTCAGACCCGTCAGGAGCCGGGAGCTGAGAACGCCCGGGAGCGCTCAAGCAAGGGAACATCAGCGCTGAGCTCGCAGTCTCTCGGCACGAAACAGCCCTTGCGCTTATCTGCTCGATAAACCGGGCACACCACAGCCCCTCTCGGGACAGCCCTTCCCAACGCTTCGGGGCTGAGGCGCGAGGGCAGCGCAACCCGCCGACCCCCCTCCATTATGCAACGAAGGCACCGCCCCTTCCCAGAGGGACGAGCCGGGAGCCGCCCCGCGGGCACGTGACCGGGAGCGCCGCCGCCGCCATGTTGGACGGGGGAGGGAAGGGAAGCGGCGTCGACCATCCGTCCTCGCATCCCTGCCCGGGCAGGGGGCTGAGGAGAGGACCCTCCGCCCCCCACCGGCACCGCGAGGCAGCAGGGCTGTGCCCTCCACGATCCACCCGTCCTCCCCGCAAACAAAGAGCGGGGTCACCCCCTTCCCCCCGCCCTTCTCCGGCCCGTGACGGTGTTCGGTGGGTTGGGGCGCCCTCCCCACTCCTGTCCTGCCCTCGCCATGCCCGGCAGTCCCCGTGGAGACAGTCCAAGCCCGCCTCCCACCGCGACAGGACCCGCCTGCCCCGGCCCTTCCCGTGCGGCCGCGCGCTGGCCCGAGCAGCACTGTGACCACCTCGCGGGCTCCCGGGAAGCAGAGCTGCTTGGGCTGCCCGGCACAGAGCGGGTTATTCCCAGACCGGGAGCTCAGCCGAATAAATATTCAGAGAGGTCTTTCTGAACCCTTCAGGTTCACAAACGCAGAGCCCTGAAGGCACTCAAATTTCAGAGATATGAGGAGGATAAAAGGCCTGTGGACATCCGACAGAATTTTAAATCAAGTCCAGTTCAACAGTACAGTAGCATTTTGCCAGGGGAGTCTTTAAAACCCTGCTACCGACTCCATTTCCTCCAGTGTCTGTAAGGGTCCCACCATTCTCGTGGATGTGGACTAAAAATACTCAGCAGAAACTCCCTGATCCTTCTGTTCCCTGCCAGTCGTTACTTCCCAGAGAGACTCTGCTGTATTTACAATTAGCCATTAAGAAAGGAGAGGGGGGAAGGGGACGGAAGCCTATAGAAGAGATGCCATTTCACTCCTGTGTAGACTAGAGTATGTGATGTGCGTGTTCAGCCAAGCTGACTCGCGTCTCTTAAGTGTTCCCTGAGCAACCACAACCTGGACGGCTGCTTTTACACCGAAGCCAGAATGCTGCACGAAACTGACTTCAATTCCAGTAGTTGTCGGGTGCCTGATCTCCTAACTGCATTTGGTGGGACATGCTGAGGAGCTACAACTGCTGTGCCAGTTTCAGGCAGGAAGTATGTTTCCGGTTAATTGCACTTTAAACCCAGAAAGAACAGTGTCCAGTTTAACCACTTCCTGAAGTTCGATCTTCGCCCTGGAAAGATGGACTTTCGGGACTAATTTTGGGATAGAGCTAGACTCGATGCAGGCCAGTGAGCCAAAATAAACACTTTTTGGACTGATGCTATGATTTCAGTACTGTAACATCTACCCATTAGTTTATGATCTGCCAAATGTGCTTTGACCTTTAAATGATACAAGCATTTACTTAATATGCCTGAAGGCTTAGAAATTCATCCCTGTCTCCTCTGAGTACTCCTCAAGAGCACATCCCATCTTCAGCAAACAGAAGAAGGAGCCATGCCTTTTATATGGCAGGCAATGTAAACCAGTTTTCTACAAGTGGCTGAAATGGACTGCACTACAAGCAAACTTAGAAAAAAAAAATCCAAAAATCCCAACCCTTTCTGCTTTAAACCCTTTCCTGTCAAGTACCTTATAAAAACCTGATGTGTTCAGTAGAACAGTGCTATAAACACCTATCTTCCAGCCCTTTCTTCCCCTTTGCATGAGAGGCCATCTATAGACCAAAAACTGCAGAGCTCCAAGAAGATGGTTTGGCTGCATAAATACGGGGCAGATTTTAAAGACAACACTTGTCAAGAGGGCAGCAGTGGATGGCACGGGGAGAAAACCTCCACTTAAACAGAGCTACTGCACAAGAGAATGCTTCAGTGTCACTCACTACAACTTCTTATTCTTGATGACAGCCACCTCCTAGCAACAAGTGGCACATCTGCTTTCAAGATGTGCTTTGCTGTTTCCTGACAACCACCAAAAAAATCAGTTTTCCTCTGAACAGAAGCTCCAGTTGTGACATTTTAATTTGTTGCTTTAGTAGAATCATTACCACCCCATCCCAAATGTCATCAGCCACCTCACCGTGCATGGCTTTTCAGAAACGAGCCTCAGAGCTGGTGACCCGACTGCTGCCCTGATGCTTGCCAAGTTTGGGCCTGTGTCTCATTTTGAGAGGGGGCAGGGGAGCAGGTTCCATATAAAAATTATTTCAACGTGTTCTATTGGTTTTAAGCCCCTAGAGAACACTCTCGTAGGCAATCTGGTCTCAGTCTAGCATTATTATTTCTATTTTTACAAGTTTAGTCAAGCTGTTGCTCGTACTCATGCATACAGTGGCCTGCTGCACATGAGGCAGCCAGTTCAGGACTGTGCACGATGCACTCCAGCACGGCAGGGTTCCAGAAAAAGAGCAGTGCTTCCGAAAGCACAGCAGGCTAGAAAAATCAGCCCTCCCTCCCTAACAAGAAATTCGTAGTAGACGCTCCGCAGCAGGTTGTGAAGGCGGCCGGGGCAGACACTGCTGGGTGGGGGAGGACGGGAGGGGCCACGTCCCACTGTGGGGGCTTCGGGGAAAAGCAAGCGGCCGCCTCCAGCTCCTAGGAAAACGGGAGGGAGCGATGGAAGAAGGAAACCGCCCGCTGAGATGGCGCAGCAGGAAGGGAGCAGGACGCGGCGTTACCTGGGCTGGGTGGCGGCCGAACCCCTCCTCCTCCTCCTGGTCCCTGCACAGGGCCGTCCGCAGCCGCTCCAGGTGCTCCCGCAGGGTGACCCGCTGGTGGAAGGAGAAGGCCGGGTGCAGCGAGGCCATGGTGAAGAGCAGGAGCAGCTCCTCCTGCGCGCCGCAGCCCAGGCCCTGGGCGGCGGGCAGCCCGGCCTGCCCGTTCTCCGCCGCTCCGTCCATCACCACCACCACGTCCCCCTCCTCCTCCTCCTCCTCTTCCTCGTCCTCCTCGGCCGGGGCCCGCCGCGCCGCCGGGCAGCTCTGCAGGATGGAGTCCACCTGGGGCAGGAGGCGGTGCAGGCGGCCGGCGGCCTCGCGGTTCTCGGAGCCCAGCAGGGCCAGGTACACGATGAGCTTGGAGCGCACGGCGGGGTCGCGGAAGTCTCCGAGCTGCCCGGGGTCGCTGAGCCCGTTGGCCTTGGCCTCCGAGTCGCGGAGGCAGTGGTAGTCCTTGCGGGCCAGGTCCTCCAGGCAGGAGCCCAGGAACCGCAGCTCCAGCGGGTTGCACAGGTCCAGCAGCCCCACCATGAACTCAAGGCGCTGCGCCGAGCCCAGCACCAACCCGAACCACTCGTACACCGTCTCCTTGTCGGTGCGGGCGGCCGCCGAGCCGGGACCGCCGCCGCCCGGAGCGCCGAGCGCGGCGGGGGGGGGCGGCGGGCCGGGCCCGGGCCCCGGCCCCAGGCCGTGCAGCCGGCTCGGCCTCTCCAGTCCGCAGCCCCTCCCCGCCGCCGCCGCGGCGCCCCCGCGAGCCCGGGGCACCTGCTGCTGCAGCGGGAGGTGACAGTCCAAGGCACCGCCGGGCTCCTTCAACCCCGCCGCCGTCGCATCTTCCGCCGCCGCTGCCTTGTGGCTCGTCTGCTTCAGGGGCAGCTTCATCTTCAGCATCCTCGGCGGCGGCACGGGAGGGACTCGGCGCCCGCCGGGACCCGGCGGCAGCAGGAGCGGGGAGGGGGGCAGGGCACGCGAGGCTCAGGCGAAGCCGCTCATGCCGCTCATGCGGCCCGGCCGGCGCGGGAGCGGCGCGCGCGCGCGGGTGGGGGGGGGCGGCAGAGCGGGCCCGGCGGGCGGGGAGCGGGCGGGCGGGGCGGGGCTCGCTCGCGGCGTTGGCGGCGGCGACTCCCCGTCTCCGCCTTTGCCCAGCGCGCTCTCGCGGCGGTCCCCCCACTCCCCGCCCTTGCCCGGTGCCCGCGCAGAGCCGGTGGGCGCCGGCGGTTGCGCGCTCGCGGCCCCGGGCGGCGCGACAGGACCGGCCGAGGCCCAAGATACCGTTGGGGGTGAGAGGGGCGGGCGGAGCGCGCGCGCCTCTCCGCCTATCGGCGCCGCCCGCGTCAGCGCGCGGCCGCCGCCGCCGCCGTGGGGAGGGCTCGGAGGGCGGGGGGAGGGGGGCTCGCGGGGCGGGGCGTTACGCGCGGCGTTGCGCGGGGCTGTGCGCGCGCGGCGCGCCCCCGGCGCGCGCGGCCCCCGCGGCCCCGCCCCGCCCCGCCCGGGGCCCGCCCTCCCCGCGCCCGGTCTGGGAACGGGTGGAGGCCACGCGTGTGCTCCGGGAGTTCCACTGCTCCCGCCGGTGGGAACAGCGCAGCGGTTCGCCTGGGACCAGTCCAGGAGCCAGCCGCCTTGTCTTCTGGGTAAAAGATTTCCCTGCTATACGGCCGTGCGTTGGCTCATGGCTCTGCTGTGCAGAGCCACGTGGGTTTGCCCAGAGCCGGCAGGAGCAGGCCCGGAGCTGTGCAGTGCCGGTGGTGGAACAAAGCTGACGGCAGGAACATGGCTGCTACGGGCCTTTCTAATTTCTAACGCAGTTGAAACTACTGCTGTTGTAAGAGGTCTTCTTTTTAAAATGGCCATTGTTACAGTATCGTGGCTTTCTACCCGGCTCTTTTTACGCTAGGGAAATACACGGAATATTGCAGAAAAAATAAAGGACAGCAAAATGGTTTAGGGATACTCTGTTAGGAAAGAGCATGCTTTCTTCGCTCTTGTTCCCCCCATCCTCTTCCCAGCTGTTGTGATTCACAAGGATGAAGAGCCTACGATTATAAGATTAAGCAGTGCTCTGACTAATCAGAAAGTTGCAATGCTCCTCACTTCGATTCCCGCACAGTTACATAAAGGCAGTGTATTTGAAAGCAGAATCAAGTCTGTGGCTTGCAGAACAGCACAGCAAGAATATAAACGAGTTTTAATTACAAGTATACAGAGTAGCGTCCCTGAACTGCTTACAGCAGTAGAGTATAAACTGCAAGAGCTGACTCCCCCTTGTCTGTCAGACCAGAAGCCGACAGTGCTACAAGGAAGGAGTTTATCAAACGGTTAAGAAAATCTCGTGCAGATTATAATAGTCTTGTATGCATCACTCGGATTTGCCACAGAGCAGTCTTGAATGGTAGCTACAGACTACACCATATCCTGCATTTTTATATATGTGCAGCAAATATACGTATTTTATTCTAAAATATTAAAGGACTAACTTGTAAGTATTAGATGTTAGGTTTTCATATTCCTAATGACTGCCTAATCCTCTTGTAGTGACAAAAATGGACTTAAACCTGACTGAGTGCAGCTTTCTTTGTTCATTGGTGTCACAGTGTCGCAGGAGTGGAGTGGTGAGTGAGTCAGGTCTTAACCTTTCATCCTGGACCGTTCTTTGGTGGTCCCAGGGCCAGGAAGGCAAAGAAAAGTCTCACAGAGTCTCATAAACTTTTTTTATCCTCTTTTATTTGATTCTGTTTGCCTGTTAGGGCCTGACTGGACCTGTGAATCGTCCCAGGTCATTAGTCAAAGCAGCTATCACTCTAGTACGATATTTTCTAACATTGTCATTATGAAGTAGTAATTACAGCAATTCTTGTAATATTTTCATTATATTTTTTTCAAAACAAAAAATTACCGTAAGTATCTCTGGGGATGTGCCAAGCTGCAATCTTGGAAGCGCAGAAACAAGGCTTGAGGTTTCTGCTTAGTAGTTTGAGCAGGTATTTCAACAGTCTGAATAGAATTTACAAGTTCAAAATTAGAATGATACGAATGTTATAAATAACATTTCCTGCTTTAACAATCTGTGATTCAAATAAAACATGACATAGTTCCAAACAGATAACACCCCAGAGAGTGCAGAAGCAATTTAGTTTTGAGGGAAGGGGATGAGGTGAATGACAAAAGAAAAGGTCTGCTGGTCCATTCGTAATTCCACAAAGGTGAGATAAATTGCACACGCATGAGGGTAGTGGTTGAAAGTATGTTCCCCTGGTACAGAGTGTAGTTGGAGGCCATCCCTGTTTGTGACAGTTCCCAAGCTGATCCTTAGTTTCACAAATAAGGTTAAGAACCTGATTAACTCAACTCTTCTTGATTTCCCCTTCTTAGTGGCTTAAACTATGATACTTGAGGAAAACAGATATGAAAGATGTGCAGTCAGAAAAAAAAAAAAGAAGGAAAAGGAATAATATGAGAAAGCAAAAAGAAGACAAAGAAATTTCTGCTGACTTGCAAGTATTTCAGTAGCTGAGGGAGGTGTCAGCAAGGGAGAGGGCAGGGAGGAAAGAGAACTGAAACTTAAGTGCCCAGGAGAAATGAAAGTGAAACTCAGGGCTGTGAAGGGAATGAGGACATGGTGGGGAAATGCTCAAACAGTGACAAGCTGGTACAACAGTAATACTATGAAATTATCTTGCCTAGGACAGGTGCCCTGGAGATTTTTTAACCCGGTTTCTTAAAAAAATGTATAGCTTGTATAGATCTTTAATGACCTGGGCCCACAGTCATGCTGACTTAGGGTGAGCAATGGTACAGAGCCTTAGAGGGAAAAGTATATCTGTAATCTCTATCTGAGCTGAAAGCCAGATGAACTCCGACACAACACAGAGCAGGCGGAGGAGCAGGCAGGACAGTACTGCTGGTTTGGGAGCCTCATAGCCCCTCTCTGGGAAGTGGCTCTCGTTGGAGTACGTCAGGGGTCTGGTCTGACATCCCAGGTCAAGGGCCAGGAATGTACCACGTGGAGCAAGAAGCCATGTCCAAGAGAGCTGCTGTTGCCACAACTGGATTTGCAGCAAAAGGAATAGTGGCTATTCTGAGTCTTCCCCCACCTGCTGCCTTTTCACCTGTACAGCATAACCCCTGTTCAAATTATCAAAGCCCCAGAGCCTCCTGAGTGCACTGAGGCTTCATTGTGGGTCTAGAAGTGTTGTCCTTACTGACGGATCCTTCTGTGAACCTGGTTGCCAGTGGCTGCTGGCTCCACTTTTCTGCCTGGCTGTGACCATCACTGTTTGGATACATGAGCTGTGGAGAACACCAGGGGACACACAGGCCAAGGAGAGACTGTTTCCTGTACTCAGTGTGTCACCATACCATGTACAGGCAGCCACAATGTGTCTTTCGAGTGAAACATCGTTCCTCACTAAGTTCTTCCAAAGAGGTCATCAGCATTGTGGGAGTTTTCTTTACCAGGCCTAAAACTTCCCCAGCAATGCTTTTAGAAGGGGGAAAGCCACTAAGAAAAATAAAAAACACGGCACTGGGACACTGAACTGAATGCTGAAGCTAAGGGAGGAACTAACAAAGCAGCCTTCAACACCATTCCACATAACATTTCTTTAGTTATTTTAATAATCCTCTTTTTTTCAATATTGACTTCTCACCAACACAGTCAAAAGATTTTGCATTAGTTTCAGCAACACATAAAACCAGTTTCACAGTTTGTTAAACTCATTTTGTTTATGCCTTTGGTCCTACTAAGGATCTGCTAAAATTGTTTTGTAAGAACAGGAATGAGGTTAATCTGTGGCCCACTTAAAAATCAGATAGGAATGCTGCAGAATATATAGATATATATTTCATATAAATATATCAGGATTTTTTTTTCATGTTGATACTGTTCCCTGGGTACTGTCTTTGCCAATAAGTGTATTCACTTAAAAAAAAAAAAAAAAAGCTGTAACAAATGCTCAGTGAGGATCTCTGCATGGATTCCCATCCTACAGGGTAGAAGATACGTAAATAGGGAAAGAAATCTTTCTGTCCTCCTTTTCTCCTTTATTCCCTTTCTTCTTGTTTCCCAGACTGTAGGAAGATCAACTACTTTTTAATACAAAGTTTGC